ATTAGACCATAGGGTTAACAAAACAACAGAAAAAAAAATGCTGCATAGCATGGACTAATAGTAGGAATGTTATTGTCAGTTTGCAGGTGGATTTTTTTTTTTTTTTAATTCTGGTCTCAGCTAAATTAGTTCTGAGCAAGAAAGGAAGTTTCTGACATAATCCGCCCCACTGCTACGTTAGCACTTTTCTTACTGCAGTTGCTGGCGAAGTTGGGCTGGTGTTTCAGCATACTGCAGAAATCCCCTCTGCTTTCACACCTAGTTCTCTTCCCACTAAAGTAATGCATTTTTGTATTTAAAAGAAGTAGAATTTTTTCTTTTGGATGCCATTATGTAAAAAGTCTGGTAACTCCTTAGAGGTCAGCTGTGTCGTGCTTCCATTTAAACGAATGGGAGTTAAGAGGACTCAAATCTGTTGAAGCTTTGAAAGGAAAACAGGAGGCTTATCAGTACTGAAAGATTTAACAACGATGGCAAGGAAAGTTAAATTTATACATAACTCTCAAAATTAAGGTATTGTAGAATAATTAATTACATTTATTAGTAATTATTTTACAAAAATTATCCTAATTTTAGTCTGTTTCCTCTATGTTTTTCTTTCCACCCAGAGAGTTGAAGCCTGGTGAAGAAACTACATGGAAATAAAGGCTGCTGATGAAATGGAAAATATTTTCGTTTGATTCATCATCTTATCTCACACGTTGAAAGAATAGGATTTTGGTTTTTATTTTGAGAGAATATGTAAAGCTACAGAAAAGGACACCTGCAGTTCATCAGTGCCGATTTCCAATCTTACTTTTTGGAAGATGACTTAATTACATGACTAATATCTGTCCAGGAATTCCATTAGTCCATAAGTGTGGAGAAACTTTTGTCCCCAGAAGTCATACCCTGGAGGGGGGAGGAAGAATTACGTAATAATAAAAAACTATGCAAAAACCTTTATGTTGTTATTGTTGTGGTGCGGAATTCACGTACTTATGGGCACTGGGGCCTTCCCAGGAGGAGGTAGCACGGCCCCAGAGCGCGGTCGACAGTTGTTGGGCGTTTCTAACCGAGCCTGAGCGCGGCAGGTGCCTCTGTCCGGAATGGCGGCGGGCGGGATAGCGCCGCACCGGCGGGGCCGGGCCTTTGCTCACCTCGGTGGCGCGGGGAGGAAGGGGAAAGGCGGGCCGCGCTGCCATTCCCGCTGCTGACGCGAGAGGCGCGGGCGGGTCCTCTCCGCCGGCCGGCCCCGGGGCCCG